ATTTTTTTTATTTTTTATTAAAAAAAAATTTTTTTTCAACGTTTATTTATTTTTGGGACAGAGACAGACAGAGCATGAATGGGGGAGGGGCAGAGAGAGAGGGAGACACAGAATCGGAAACAGGCTCCAGGCTCCGAACCATCAGCCCAGAGCCTGACGCGGGGCTCGAACTCACGGACCGCGAGATCGTGACCTGGCTGAAGTCGGACGCTCAACCGACTGCGCCACCCAGGCGCCCCTGAAAACACTTTTAAAATAAAAAGTGAGGGAAAACCCACGAAAAATGAAAACACAGCCCAGAACCCTGTGGTTTTGTTTTGGTTTTCACTTTTATTACGGAAGTTTTTGCAGAGTACAAATGAACAGAGACGCAAACACAATGAACCCTCGCATACCTCCCATCTGCGCCTACAGTGAACTCCCCTTTGCCCATTTTTTTTTCATTCATAACCTGTTTTCTTTGATTTTGCTCGTTTTCCCTTGGGGTTGGAGTATGTTAAAGACCTTGTCGTTTTTGCGTAAATATGTGTTGTGATCGTTGTGTATAGAGGTTTGCCTCGTTCGTGTAAACAGAGATGTAAAATGTCCATTACGTGGATATTCTATATATTAAAAAAAATTTTTTTTAGGTTATTTACTTATTTTGAGAGAGAGGGCGAATTTGAGCAGGGAGGGGGAGAGGGAGGGGGAGAGAGAGAATCCTAAGTAGGCTGCGCATTGTCAGCGTGGAGCCTGATGTGGGGCTGGAACTCACTAACCGTGAGGTCGTGACCTGGGCTGAAATCAAGCGTCTGACGCTTAACGGACTGAGCCACCCAGGCGCCCCTGCGTATCCCGTATTTTAATCCACCCCCCTTCCTCCTCTTATATCAGCATTGAGTTCGTTTCCAGACTCTTGACATTATAAACAATGTCACCAGATGTCATCAGTTTCAGGCCATGATGTCATCATTTGACCTTCCCCATTCTCCTGCCTGGGAAGTAGCATTGAGTGGCAGAGTTAATATTCCCCACCACTAGCCGGAGGGTCCGTATATGGTTCAGTGGAGAAGACATTTGAGTTACATTTTGCCTCCCCACTCCCTGGGTAGGAGTTTTATCAGTTAGGATTAGGTTCAACTGTGAGTGGCAGAAAATCACAAGCAGTGGCTGAAGCCAGATAGAGGTTCATTATAGAAGTTCGTTTCTATCTCACGTGGAAACCTTTATACACTGGCTCCAGGGTGGGAGTGACCCTCCACGGTGTCAAGAACTCGAGCTCTTTTTACCTTGTTCTGCTGTGAGTGGTTTCCATTCCCAAAGTGGCTGCCCTAGCTCCAGCTATTGTGCCTATATCCCAGGCAGCGAGAAAGAGGAAAGAAAAGGAAAAAGCACACTTCTCCTTTAGGCGCCTTTCCTGAAAGTTGCACATATCACTTCCACTTACGTTTCACGGGCCAGAACTTAGTCGCCACGGCCATCTGGTTGCAAGGGTGGTGAGAAAGGCAATCTTTATTTGGGGTGAACGTGACCTCGGCTACAAATCAGATGTAGGCATTGCACTGCTAGTGTGTGAACAAGGTGTGGTGGGGGCTGCCAACGACGCCTGAAGGGAGATCAGGAAAGGCTTCCTAGAGGAGGTGATACAGGAATTTGCCTAAGACAGGCGAGGTTTGCTTTTTATGAGATGAAAGAGAATAAGCTGGGCATTAACGGGAAATTCGATTTAAAAACTTGAAGTTGTTCCCAAACCTTTCTCATTTTCTAAGAAATTCTGTATTGAGTCCATGGCAAGAGTTAACTACCCCAACTGAGGAATTATTTGTTGAGTGGATGAGTGAATGAGTGAGGAGAGAGGGTTGTGAATGACTCCCAGCGCTGTGACCCTGGGGGGTTCCTGGGGCAGACCTTCTTTTCTGAAGGTAGCCACGATCATCCCTCTCACCTCACGGGCCCTTCCGCAATTTGTCCTTGTCGCTCCTCCGGAAGGTGGGATCTATCGCACGACCCCTGGGAATCTGGGCAAACGCTGTGGCTCCTTTGGCCCACAGAGCCAGGCACACGTGAAGCTGCGTTAATTCTAGAAGAAGCCCTTAACTGGCCTTGTGGTTTCCACCTCCTGCTTCTTGTGACGACCCGGCTGGTGAGGAGCCCGAGTCACATGGAGAGGCCTGGAGGAGCGGACCCCACGGAGAGAGAGACAGAGAGACAGAGAGAGAGAGAGAGAGAGAGGAAGGGAGAGACTAGGGTGGGTCAAGATGCCAGGCAAGTAATAAAGAAGTCAGTTATCTTGGAAATGGACCTTCCAGTCCCGCTGCCCTGGCTGATGCCACGTGGGTTGGAGAACCGTCCAGCTGAGTCCTCCTTGGATTCCAGACCCACCAGTGCTCACGTGAAATAAATGTGCTTTGCAGCAGAGCAACGGATCTCTGGAAACCTGCCTTGAGAGGCTAGGCTATGGAGCATGCTGGGCTGTCCCTGGCAGAGCCCCACACGGAGGGCCAGTGGAGGACATCTGGGGTGCGCTGACGGGGTGACCTAAGCCAGCCGTGGGTGTAAGTCTCCTGTGGCCTCCGTCAGCCATCAGCCATTCTGCACGGAGAGAGAGAGGGCTCCTTAGAGGCACTATCTCATGTTTTTAGACGCACCCAGAACTAGCCTGTCAGGTAAACAGCAAGGGAGCTCTCGAACACATCTAGGCTCCTGTCAAAAGGACTCAGGAACCAGCTTGAAAAGGTCCACACTGGCCAGAGAAGAGACAATGTGAGCCTTCGTAAGGACAAGAGCCGGGATGGGCCTCGCCCCTCCTGGGAACTCCTCTCCCCGCCATGACACGGGCCTGCCTTGACTGCCCATGAGCCGAAGCCCCGCTCGGACCCTTCCTTTGTCTCTGTCGTTCTCCAAAAGGCTTGCTCTGTCTTCTCGACCCTCCCTTCTCTCCAGACACCAGATCTGCACGTCTTTCCCACCCCGTGACTCCCACGGCAGTGGGGCCATGGCCCCAGCCTCTCCTCGGCCATCGTGGAGGCCACGCCAAGCAAGGCTGGAGTGCGTTGGGCCTGGCAGTTCGGAGGGGCCGTAGGGCGTGCATGAGCAAGGAAGGAAATGAGGTCTAGGCCCGTTCCGTCCCGTCTCCTGGTGAGTCTGGGGGAAGACGGCGGGAGCAGGGATGGGTTTGGAGTGTGGAGGATGGCTGGTTGACCCCCCCCCACGGTCTCGCAAGAACCCCCAAAGGAGAAGCCTTTAAAGCTCTTGGCAGCTTGAAGGGGTTGCGTTGCTGGTGGGCCCAGTGCCGCGGGTGACCTGGACCGGAGCCCGGGTGGGAGTCAGATCTATTTTACTCCACAGGACCTGCCTGGCCTTTGTCGGCTGTAGGGAGGTGCATTTCCCCCTCCCCTGTGGGCAGCAAGTTCCCCACGAGTCAGCAGGAAGTGCCTCTGGGCTCACCCACCGGCTTCTATTGGCTTGTGAGATGGACGAGCCAAGTGAGGGTGCAAGGCCTCTGTGCCTCCCTGGGGCCCACCAGCCTGGAGACGCCCGCGGGTGTCCCTCAGTGTACCAGCCTGGTCACTGGCCCTCCTTGTCACCTCCCGACATCCAGGTGCTGAGCGTGGGCTCCTTCCCTTCATTCAGTGGAGAATAAATTAAGGCACCTGGGGTCGAGGCTTAAGGCTCTCGGTCCCCTGTGCCGTACCCCGTGCCGGGCACCGTCCTCAAGTTTTCACGTGCTAACCGGCCCAACGTCCGAACTCTGTTGCACGGACCCAACAGGTACGTTCTACTGTTTTACTCCCCGCTTCACAAATGCAGAAACCGGGGCGCAGAGAAGTCAGGCGAGCGACCCAAGGACGCACGGTTCCTCGGTAAGATAGCCAAGTCCCGCCTGGCTCCCAGAAGCCGTCCCAGGTTGACACTCGCAATGACCGTGCCTTGTGTCCCAGCCGGCTCTGAATCTCCCCATCCTCTTGGGACCTCGGAGGATCTTTCAGATTTGGGGTCACGGGTGAGGCTAGAAGGCGCACACCCAGCCCGCTGCAAACGTGGTCGGGTCGTCGGAGTGGCGGAAGAGGGGCCGATTCCAAGCAGCTGCTTGGTGACAACAGTTCTCTCCTCCTGTTCCTCCAGAGAGCATTTCGTTTCACAACAATGCTGTAAGGGGCTGGCCGGAGAGGGCTCCCCGCCCGCGTCAGGTACTGATCAGAAACTCCGGGCTGGGACCAATAATGCGCTGTGTCTTCATAAGCTCTAGATGATTGTTGGCAGTAAGGAAGCTGACCGTTGGTCTCATCCGTCCCTGCACCTGGCCAGGTGTGGCACAGAGTAAGTGCGCGTTACAATGAGTGAGATCAATAGCTCGTCTGCTGCTCTGCCATCAGAGGCCTCAAATGAGATCGTGGACATAGAGTGCCTGATTGAAGCCTCAGCACACAGTAGGCCCTCACTAAGGGGGGGCAGGAAGGATTGTCCCGGCACCAAGGTTGGAGGGCTGCGCGCTGGGAGCCGGTGGGGCTCGCCGAGGAGGGAGAGAACCAGGACGGAAGATTCAAGGTTGGGGGGCATGGCGACTGCTGATGTCACAATGCCCCCATTTGCCTGGATGTGTCGGGCTCCTGGACCCCTCCGAGGCTGGCAGAGGGGATGGCCGGCAGCAGCGAGAAGATCACCGGGGAAGCGGAATCCAGGACCAGGGGGACATTTGCGGACCAGAAATAAGCACGGGGCAGAAGAACCACCAAGATACTGGCGGAGGCATGGGGAATCACCGAGACCTGTCAGGTACTGGTCCGGGTGGACCGGCAGGTGTCCCTGATGGGGAGAGTGCAGGGTCCCAGTGAGAGTACACACACCCAGCTACCAGGAGGGCACGTCCTTCACAGGAGCCCCCCCGTTTGTTTGCGGGTTCCCAGGGCATCAGGCGGTCGTTTCCTGGAGTGGCCTCAATTCTGGTCCCACGGCCTCCCGGGGACTCTGTCCAACGTACTGATGTCCCAGCCCCACCGCTCAGACCCTGATTCACTTTGCAGAGGGCTCGGGGATACATTTAAAAAAAATGGTCAGGTGATTCTACTGTGCTTTCAGGGCAACAATTCTACTTAAACAAGAAAACAACACACACACACACACACACCCCTACACGATCCAGCTATGTTTTCTTTTTTCAACGTTTATTTATTTTTGGGACAGAGAGAGACAGAGCATGAACGGGGGAGGGGCAGAGAGAGAGGGAGACACAGAATCGGAAACAGGCTCCAGGCTCTGAGCCATCAGCCCAGAGCCCGACGCGGGGCTCGAACTCACGGACCGCGAGATCATGACCTGGCTGAAGTCGGATGCTTAACCGACTGCGCCACCCAGGCACCCCAATCCAGCTATGTTTTCTAATGAGCAGCGGGGGTCGCGTGTCGTGTCCCCCCAGAGATGCTCAGACTCTGGACAGAGCTCAGCTCCAAGAGAAAGTTAAGCTAGGACTGGTAAAGTCATGAAATTCACTATCAGGAATCTATAGGAACCGGGGCACCTCCGGGGTGGCTCAGCCGGTTGAGCGTCCGACTTCGGCTCAGGTCACGATCGCGTGGTTCTCGAGTTTGTCCCGAGTCGGGCTCTGTGCTGACGGCTCGGAGCCTGGAGCCTGCCTTCGGATTCTGTGTCTCCCTCGCCCTCTGCCCCTCCCCTGCTCACGCTCCGTCTCTCTGTCTCTCACAAATAACTGTTAAAAAAAAATTAAAAAAATAAAAACAAAAGCAACACTCAGTAAACCTTATGATCGGTGAAGGCAGCACGGTGTAGACGGGGTAGCAAGGAGAAAAGGCACCTTCTGCTGGGCCTAGCACCCAGGCAACCATCCCATCGTGGTGTTGCTGGAGGCCACAGCCCCAGAGGCCCCTCCGTGCCGGCCTCTCTGGTTCTACGCTTGATCCGGCTACACTGCGTCCGTCTGAGAAAAGCCGAAAGGCAAGAATATGAGAAGCCAGAGTTCTTGGGTTCAAATTCAGACCCTGCCGCTTGTCTGGGGGAGAGCTGCTGACTGTGTTCAGACAGCTGGTCCCTGCATGCTTGGGTCCCGGGGTCACAGCCTCCAGACCCCCTGGCGGGCACTTTTCTCCCTCTGTTTTAGCAGACGTTACTGCAGGGATGCCTCCCCCGTGCTTGACGCCTGGACTTGTGCAGGGCACAACGGTGGTTTCCTCCCCAGCTGAGCAATGTTCAGGCCCCGCAAAGCCCCGGTCTGCTCTGGGTGTGACAATTGTAGAAGGCTTGCTTTGGTCCCCAGGCTGAGCAGTGGACGGCCCTGGGCTTCCCTCCTCGCTCCCTCTGGTCAAAGCGAGAGCCCCTTGGTGCCATATTGGAATCGGTCAGTCCGTGTCTGTGTCTCCATGTACGTATGTCTGGGTGTCTGTGTGTCTGAATGTTTATGTGTGGGCACGTGCCTGTCTCTGTGTGCGTGGCCTGCCCACCCACGCCTCCCGGAGTCCCCGATCGCTGTGCCTTCTGCTTACGTGTCACCCCACGGGCTCCTTCCTGCCCAGAGGTGGTCATGGAGCTCTGAGGACAGACGCCAGGCTGCGGAAACTTGGGGGGAGGGGGTGAGGAAGAGGGCAACAGTTAGTACAGGCCACTCCCCGGGGAACTGTGGCCGAGAAAAGGAGCAAAACAGAAGTCAGGGAAGCTCGGGGTCAAGGGAAGAATTTGTTAGAGACGGGGAGATGTGGGTTGTTTGGACACAGAAGGGGAGGAGCAGAGGAGAAGGGCAGTTGGGAAATGCTGGCGGGGAGGCAGGCAGTGGGGCTGGATCGGAGAGGCTGAGGAGGGTGGGGCCGGTCCCAGGACTTGTTTCCCAGCCCCGAGGCCATGCGTACCCCCAGCCTCTAGTGCTGTCACCGCCCCCAGAAGGAGCGCTCACCTGCAAAGGGGCGGACGGAGGCCAGCTTTGCCAAGGCAGCAAGCAAGGTGGCTGTAGTGCTCGCGACCTCCCGCGGGTCCATACCCTCAGTTCAGCCCTGCCAAGTCCAGCCAAGTTCACGCCTGGGCTGGGAGCCCGTCTCAGTCTTTGACGGGCTCAGGATCCTCGAGGACACAGATGTGTCAGCATCTGACACCTGAAGGCTTGCCTGGCTCCTGGGTCTGAACCTCTGCCTAGGCCCAGCCCCAACTCCGTAGCCATCCAATCTCCCTCTCTGTGCCCATCCCCCTCCTTCACCAGCCCCATGCTCACCTCTATGGTCATCCCCATGCTCACCTCCGTGCTCATCTCTGTGCTTGTCCCCAGGCTCATCCCCAGGCTCATCCCCAGGCTCGTCCCCATGCTCATCCCCAGGCTCATCCCCAGGCTCATCCCCAGGCTCATCCCTAGGCTCACCTCCATGGTCATCCCCATGCTCACCTCCGTGCTCATCTCCGTGCTTGTCCCCAGG